ATACGGTGACTGTGAGGCCCCCACTACTGTCCCTACTATGATCGTACTAGGACCCTTATAATTGGCATGGTTATAAACTTTATTGGATTCCTAACTCGAGTTTATGACTCTGCTCCGAGCTACCTGAAGGTTGCCCATCCCTGATTTATAGAACGCACGTGCTTCCCTGGAATCTCAACAATTTTTTTTCTACCATTTTATTTTATCCTCCACTGATCCACTCATTGTTTCTAGTTAATGAAATTTCATTCACGCGCTGCCCTCAATTCCCGGACATAATACCGTTATGAAAATTAATAGAAAAAATAAATAGATGTAAAACTGAGGACCGACGGCAGCGGTGAAATTAATGTTAAGTTACCTTCAATGAAAATCCAGTTTACTCAAGATTTCCGGAGATGAAAAATTATTTCACTCTTTATCACACATTAATTCAATCCCTTTCTGCTTCTATTTTGGTACTTCGTGAGAGCCCCAGACCGTGGAAAATTGAATTACCAACTTTACTCATTCGTATTTATTTCAATGGAAAAAGGGGTCACGTGTTTTAAACAGTTTCGCGGGAATGAATTTTGCGTGAGAAAGATCCGGCGCGTTTGTCGGTTGGAGCTCGACTGTCTTACACCAGTCACTTGATAAACCATTCTTCTTCAAGCTTACCCAAGACACCGCGCGATCTTTTTTTGACTCACTCAAAACCCCTGCCAAACATTACATCTATCATATCCATCATATTTTACCATTTTTTTCACTTTTTCCAATCTCCTACCCTCCCCATTTTATTCATCATTTTTCTAGCCACCCCATGTAATTAAACATCGCAGGTTTCATAAACATTGATGAAATTAAAATCTGGATCACGCATTTTCCATGATCAATCCTCCTTGTCAATTTTCGTGGAGTGAAATTTCGTTGTTAATGAGACTTTGGGACACCGCCCAAAAACCCAGTGAAGGGCGTTCTTCATCATCGGTGTTACCCTGTCTGAATAATTAATAATTATCTCATTACTTTGATTAATTAGGAATGAGAGGATAGAGACATCTGTTAATGGTCAGACAAGAGTTACCATTCACCAGTGGAGGCTGAACTGCAACGTCTTCGGAGGTGTCTTCTACCGCGGTCTTGGGTAATCCCAGAACTCTTGGGGATCCCTGCCTTGACGATCCCCGGGATTTCATCCCTGAAGTAATAATTTCCTCACTGATAACATCGATAACCCTCTTATCATCCTCTGGCCTGTTCGCGATATTCTTCAACCGCTTTATTTCAATTTTATAATCACTGTTTATCAGAAGCTCTTCTATTATCGCGAGGGCTTCCATCTCCTTCTGCTGTTTAAAATCTTTATCAGGTACTGTTGCTATCGATCGAATCCTTCTGCGCAATTTCCGCAATTTGTCCTCGAGTTTTTGAATCTCTGTGTCATCCCGCCGAGTCCTACTTTTCCTCTTTTTCAAGTGATTTATATCCTGGAACGGAACTGGTTCGTTAATAGTTGTTCATTTTTTTTTTCTTGTTTTAAATTTATTCTCGTGGTTTTGTTACTGACATCAGCTTTGCTATTTACAGTCCTCGCATCATCGTTCTCAGAATACAAAGCAACATCGTCTCTCCGTCTGATCGTTGATTTGCTCCACTTGACGTCAGCCGGGGTGGCATTCCGAGGATCCCTGGGGATTTAATTAATTAGACGAATATATTCTATTTTGACTAGATCGTTATCAGTTGTTTACTTCAATGTGTAGATTTCGGCCTCTTGAATCCCACCGTGAGAACCTCTCATATACTTCTGAAGCTCTAAACCACGACCGGGATAGAGCTGGACTGTTGAGAAATCTTCATTTCTATTTCCATCATTTCCTCGATTTTTTATTCGAATCTCCTGTCTCCGCCGGCGTCTTTCTTCCTTGGAAATTCTGTGTTCTCGGTGGTTGAGAACATTTGGAAATGTCACCCTTGTCTGATTCACAGTTTCAGGATCACTTTCGAAGGAATTCAGGGCTGATTTCAAGGTGAGGGCCACGAGGTCAATGAGAATGTGACAACCCTTGCGGAAATCTTAAGACAGAATGCGGGAATTCAGTCGATTAGTCATTGAAGACTCAACGGTTCGTTAATAATTAATTTTTTTATTGAATTATCGTGTAATATCGGCGACATCACTGGTTTTTTCATTTATCTCACTCACATGAACGTGATATGGGCACGTAATAGAAGATCCCTCCAAAAATGGTGGAGACAACCGTCAGGAATTTTATGTAACCCCCGAAACCTCCCATTAATGAACCTTCTTCTAAAAAGAAATGCCGCAGGCCGATTGTGAACATTTCGCCCTCAGAACCCACCGTGACTGCCCAAAAATTTTTCAACACTTACAATTTGAAAAATTGATCACACTGAAAATTTCATAATTAACTAGAAAATTTTCAGGGATTTTCATGAGCTACCCAGATAACCTTCATAACTAAAAAAAAAAAAGAAAACCGACAACAGTGATAGAGAATTATAATTCTCTGGGATATATCTTGATAAATTCGAACAAGTGACAAAAATCGAATCGAATTTTTTTGTCGATTCGATGATTTCAAATAATTTCAATTGATTTCAAGTGATTATATCATTTTATTCGTGTACTTTACAATATAATACAAACAAAAAATCTTCATGGGATACAACAATCTAAAAGGATTAAGTAATTGCATCGCGCAATGCGTTCTCGATTACTGGTGAATACACAGTTAATTCTTTAAACATTTTTAAAAGTTTCGGTGCACAGATAGGAGGTGCAATTCTAAAGGCATTAAACATTTATTTTCCTTGATCATAGCTGGACATTATCTGTCCACAAAACACTCAGAAGATAGATACCCTCTTAAATGATAAAAAAAATACACAATCAATTAAATTAGAATACTTTCTATCGTTTCACGTGTAATCGCCAACGACTGTAAAAAACCGAAACTAAATCGTTGAATCCTAAAACACATTCATACCGATGCGATTGAGAGATCTACTTGTGATAGAACGTAAAACGCTGTCTTAGCCGTATCGACGGAATAATAAAAATAATAATATCATAAATCCCGCGTTAAATGTTTAATTTAATAGTTAGTTGGTAACAGCGGGCTAATTAGCAATCTAGAGGATCACACAAAGTTAGAGCGGAGATCGCAGTCGTTAGCTTCGAACTGTGTCTACCGTATTTTCATCAGAGGGATTACACGAATAATATAATAATACAATTATAATAGTCCGCCTTATTTGACAGTCCAAAAGTCACGTAACACATTTTTGTCTAGCATTTCACCCAAAATCCAACTCCATTTATTTTCTCGACCGTTCGTAGACAAAAGGAAAGCATTCCTCCGTGGAGTCAAAACAATACATGACTCAATGATAAATTTCACAGGTAATCCATGAAATCAAAGAGTCTTACCGCCTGGGCGAATGCGAAACTAGTGATAGTGACGTTGGAGTCAAATAATTGAGACTGAGGATCATGAGTGACGACTTTATACAGGGTAAAATGATAACGACAAGTGATGATGATGATGACGTTGACATTGACGCTGACACGAGGAGATAAGATAATGTGAATCCTTAAATAAGAGGGTGGATCACATGTCGGAGGGGTAGAAGTGATTTGGATTGGAGCAATGAGTTTACACTCGTGCCTTGATCTTGTTCATGGCATTCGTCAGATGGGTCATCTCAAGGTTGAGCTGGGCAACGAGACCCTCGAGCCTCTCGACGGTATCGAGAACCTCGACAGTCTGAGTGTGTGGGTTGAACCTGACCTCGAAAGGCCTGCTCATTGTTGACACCCAGCGACGGAATTTTTCCTTCGCATCCTCGAAGCTCTCGGCGACGTAGTAAATCGGCTGGTAGTCCTGGTCCTGATAAGGTTGAACTGCAGTAGTGGATGGATCGAAGGATCGGTGCTCGCACTTATCACTCAGGGAGTGAAGAAGCTCACCGTAGGCTGAGAGAAGACCAGCGCCGTATGCCTTCACTTCTGTTCCTTCCTTGCAGAGACCGAATTCAACGGTGAACCAGTAGATGGTAGAGAGTTTCTCTATCTCCTCGTCTGATGCTCCGAGGGAGGCCAAACCGATCTCCTGGGAGAACTGGGCGAAACTGGGATCAGCCAGAAGTGGCATATGTCCAAGAAGTTCGTGGATGCAGTCACTGGAACAGACAAGTATCAACAAAATATAAATCGTTTCATTATCAATAAATATCTCGAATGACCGTATAAAATACCGAATACCCGTAAGAGGTAAATCTCAAATATTTCCAATGCATACCCGTACTGAGCATGCGCGGATGATCTCGTCTTATATAAAAATTGAAATACAGTAAAATTGTAGATCAATACGTTAAAGCATTGAAGACAGTAAAAATATGGGGATTTGAATGAAAAAATGTGTAGGGCCCAGCTTTTGTGAAAATGAACATTGCATTGTTTTAACTTTCGCGATTAGTGCATCAATCTCGGATATTTTTGTACATAGGCGGAGACAATCCCCGGGTGAAGCACGAAACCCGTCGTCAATGAAATTATTCACGTCGCCGTGTCGTTAAAAGCCAATTAGAGTTTCCATTACAAGCTTCAGAGCAGCAAGCCTGATTCCATTAAAATCTCTTTCCACCTACCCACCATTACCAACTACTCGATTGACTCTGCACGCCTGTGATAACGCAGGGTATCGATTGTCAGTATATCCGAAAACTTGGCGCACGTACCCTGTGGTCACGAAAGTTCTCCCCAAACTCTCATCCCACATGAATTTTCAACTTCCCCACGATCTAATGATAATAAGAACACTTACGGCTCGGGTGTGTGGTACGGACTGTTGATATGTCTGACATACTGGGTGCTCTGGAATATCCTGAAAGCCAAACTGGAGAGGAAATCCCTAGCTGTGAGTAGACCAGCAGCTGGACGAAGGGTGAAACCAGTGTTTTTCTTCAGGAATTCACTGACCTCCTGCAGCTGAGGGATGCGGTGGGCCTCGAAGATCTTCTCCTCGCGCAATTTCTTGAATACTCTCTGGTACTCAATGCAGGCGTGCTTTGGCACTAGGTCGACAACAGTATTGAAAACACGAAGCCATGTCTCATTCTCGGTCTCGGTGTAGGGAATTGAGGGAATCGGATCGCCATATTTGTACGCAAATGCTATCTCAGCGATGACCTTTCTGCGTGCACGATACTCCTTGTCAGCAAAACCCGGATGATTCATGTCAAGATCAGGCTCGTACTTTGTCATCAGATGATTGCAGTTGTCAAGTTCAGATGCATGACGTGGAAACCAGGGATCCTTGATACTGACAGAATTGTCAGCCAGCAAAGAAACCTCACCAAGTGCTGAACTCTGTCTCAAATTTCTAATCAACTGGAGGAGACACTGACGTGTCATGTCAACCTTAATGAGAACATCGAATTGGGTACCCTCTTTGCGTGATGGTCGAGACTCAAGATGAGTTACACTGCCCTTGAAGTTCTCAACAGTTTTCAATATACGTGCCAGTGAACCAATACCATCTTTCAAGCGAAGCATAAGTGCTGCTTTTTGAACTGCTGATTCACCCTCCGGACTCTCGGCAATGGTCTTTGCCAGCACCACTTCCTCCTCGGTGAGTCCGTAATCTGGGAAAATTCAAGGAGAATGTTAAGAATGCATTACGAGTGGCGTGAGAGAAGAAATCGATTTAGAGTCCATTTGCTCGAATCACAGTAAAGGAAGTCCAATAACGTTCTTTAAGCACTGGAGGACGAGGCGTGGGTGTTCTCAGAGTGCCAAATAGAAATATCTAGTTATGTTTCAACGCAGAACACTTTACAGGCTGCTAACGAAAAGGCGTCTTAACGTTTACCCCTGAAAATGCATAGAACTCTTTTTTTACTTTTCGTTCGTCTAACTCCACGACAATGGCGACGGTTTCACCCTCCATTTACTCCTCCTCACCCAGTTACCCTCGGACACTTAAGGACTTTCCTTGACATTTTTTCGACAACCCAGTACGCCTGGACTTTTACACTTTTTCTCGGAGTTGATTTTTTTTATTTGAGGTATTCCTCGTCAAATGAGTCAATAGCTCACCACCACCATCTTCAAAATTCATCGCAACTAATAGTTCAAAATCGAATGAATAGAACTGGTTATTGAGATATTGAAAAAAAAAAATTTTAAACAGAACAAAAATCATTTTTTCGAACTGATCTATGAAACAAATCTGAAAAAATGAAGAGGTGGGTTGTCAAGAGTGATGTGACGTTAAACAATTCACTCATTTGGTACGGAATAATCATTTAAGTCCATTATATTATGTCTTACCGTCGTCAACATTGGGTTTTCCCTCGCCATCCGAGGATGAAGCTTCTGCTTTGGCTTCTAAAAATAAAGACAACACTCAACACTCATGCAAACTACAGAAATAAAAATGCGCGAGAGAATAGATCAATTGGGCCGGCAATTACCTCCTTCCTTACTAACGAATCTCAGTGATTCGCCCTGTTCGTCATCGCTTGATGAAAAGTACGGCTCCTCATGATTCTGCGTCTCTTGAGCGGAAGCTGGATCCGTGCTTGAGTCTAATCAAAATTAAAGAAAAAAAAATAATAATACGTGCGACATGCAGGCAACATTAAAACTCATATTCCTTGAAATTTCAGTCAACACCATATCAAAGCTTAATTACGTGAATTTGAATTGAATGCCAATCGAAAACATTAATTAACTTTATATTTATTTTAATAAGTTTAATAATAGGGAAGCCATTACAGCTTGTTCGCTTTCAAGAAGCTTTCTTGAAAGCTTTCTTTCTTTGAAGCTTTCGAGCGCTTTTTAAAAGTTTGGATGATTGCTTTTGAGACTGACCATTGGCTCTGTGACGAGCTTCCTCAAGCACGCTCTGCTTCGTTTGCTTCACCACGAGCGTCTCAAAACGGGCATCATCCACAAGGGATCTGCGACGCGCCGGATAGCCGTTCTGAAATTAATCCAAAGTAAATTCAAAGTTAGACCACTGAATTCACGAAACAAACTCATGCGTAAAATTAATCAATCGAGACGTGTGAGAGACCCTCCAGGCTCTTCCGGATCATTCCCCAGGAGGAAATAACCACGGAAATTGCTACCAGGTACCTACGACCACCTGTGGGTCCCAGGATTAATTGGCCCTCGACAACTTGGCAGAGTGGAATTTCTGGCTCGGTGGCGGTTTAAGAGTAAAAAATGTGTAGTGACTTTATTGTGAGTCGCGTGCACCGAGAGTCGGCTAAGTGGGCCAAGTACTTTTGCCGGCGGATAGACGAGCGATGAGTGTGCAATTGCATCAGCCTGTCGATTATTCCCAGGTATGGGATGCGTATTAACCGGAATGCATGGTTTGCTTTGATGGAAAAACCTTGATCAAGTGCCCGACTGTCGCACGCCATTGACCTCGTCCGTCATGTTGTTGTCAAACCAAATTCAATTGCATTATTTACAAAAATTGTAAATCAATTTTTGTCATTTACTATCTTCCGTCGTCTTTGTCGCTATTCACGCGAGGTAAAGAAGAGAAACCGAGATCATCCTCAATTCCTCAATTTTTTAAATAATACCAAGCAATAAAGACACCCACTGTAAATCCTTCGAGATCGATTGAAATCATTTTTTACCGATTAATATCATTCTTCTGCTTTAAAATTTCCTAAAAAGCACAATCATTGACAAGACTAGTTAAATCAGATTATTCACAATCAATCGTAAAAAGTATCTGAAAACTAATGAAAAAAAAAGATTAAAAAACAGTAATAAAATCCATAAAAAGAATTTTTCATTGACTAATATTATTCTTGTTTAAAATTCCGGAGAAATGCAATGATTGAGGATATACTTTGTATTGGCCCACGGAGAAAATGATTTTGCGAAAACAGGTGATAAGCATCTGAGTCGAAGTGGTGATAAAAAAAGAGTAGAAAAAATGGTAAAAAAAGGGGGAATAAATGCAGCAATTAAATGGATGGAGATTAGCATATTGTAGCGGCGCGCGCGTGGTTGAGAATTATCGCGGTAGATACATGTGAAAGAAAAGGAGACGTGTCGAGCCTCCAACTTATAACGGTTGTAATCCCGTACAACACATCCAAATGGTTAACGTTGACTCAGGGACTCAACCAGCCGCAGCCAGTATTCTCTCCTTCACAATCACTTCGTTCTCATATTTATAACATATTCATAATTATCATGTCGACAAGGACGATTGATTTCTCAATCCATGATTATCCGTCCGATATTATTCCCCGTTGACGGCATCCTCTGGCCCCTCCACCGCCTCCTCTATTTATTTTTCATTAAAACATCATGATTTTTAATTGAATACTTGTGGCATCAGTGCGGGGGAGGGGGGGGGGAGGGCTACACCTGATTTCACTGCCTTCGGAAAATACGAACAAGGTCTCGGTTTTTCCACTTGCCACTAAGTCGCCGCGTGATTCGCTATTTTTATTTTATTTTATCGTTCAACGGATTCTTCACTTATTGTATCACTTTTCAGGAATATCTTCTTCAATTTTTCAATACACTTGACTTTCTATCAGTAACAATGTGCATTTTGGACACGAATTCCAGTGGAAATATCACGTGATGGTATTTAATGAATTTTTAGATAATAGATAATAGCATTGGAATTTTTTTAAGGAATTTCTCTTCGTGTACTCGTCAAGGAGGATTTTATAAGGAATTTTTGTGACGAAGTGATAAACTGGGATATTTTCACAGTAGCTCAAAAATGGGACCACGTTTGAGAGAACGTTCAATTCAAGTGATAAAAAAAATCGAAAAAAAATCCACTTATCCTAGTTTACTTCGCTACTCATTTATCTGCATTTTGTTCCTGGGACATTAGGTAACGCTCAAAATTAATTTCTGTACTGTAATGAACAACTCGATCAATCCGATTTCAATTTCAATTTAGCCGTTATCGAAAAGGGAAATATCGCCCAAATATTACACGCCAAAATATTTCTCTTATAGATCAACAGGGCCATTTTAAATACTCTCAAAGTTTTACCAACAAGTCAACTGTTTTATACTGTTTTCCATGATTTATTGGGTATTTATGGTCGCGCTATTGATGTAGATCGAGTGTTTTGAATAATCGCCGATGTAGTAATTTGTCTTGACAGGTTGGTGTGACATAATCGACCAGATTACTCGGTAGATTGTAACAAACATCATCATCTAACAGCTATAACGGCACGAAAGTGCGAGTAACGTACAGGACTTTCTCCGTGCCACACTGGACCTCCAACAATCTTTATTTTTTTTTGTCAAACACTTGACAGGTGATTCAATGTCGTTGAACTCAGGTCATCAAGGGAATGATGAAATAATTTTCAATATTAACACTTGCCTTTACCCTGAAGCCCTAGAAAATTCAAATCGTTATCGATTTATCTCGTTTCACCATCTCTGTCATTAAACAAAAATATTGACAGCTCATATGACAACGAAAACTTCGTTGAAGCTGTGAACTTCAGTGTCGAAACTTGTTGGAATGAAGGGCAACCCACACGGAGCAAAATACACAAGTACACGTACATGAATTTACGATAGTATTGGTGAGACAATTTATAAAAACTACAGTCAGAGAAAAAAGAATTTTTTGTCAATAAAATTGACCAAATAATTTCTGATGAATAAATGAAAAAATATTGATAAATGAAATTAATGGGAGAAGAGCCTTTGAGGAGAATGCATTTCGTTAATTTCCCGAATTTAATTTCGTTAATTTCACTGGTGTCCGAGAACATTCCCGGCTGCAGGCGTCAAAAAAAAGATGACGATAGAATTTGTATAACGCGGAGAAAGTACGTTGAAGAATTCCACACTCTGACGCCTCGAGATAATGACAAGTCCTTTTTTTATGTTTTTTCTTCTGCGGTAATCTGCATTGCCATTTCCAACCGCTAGCCTAAGATCAGCCTAACGAATAAGATTCACCCCCAACGGAGCGTAATCATTGCAATTCGATGATGAATTACCGATTCATGAGATCCTAAAATCCATCTCTTCATCTTCACCAATTGCACCCATTTAATTGATTTCGACAATAATTAGCGACTGCGGGTGTATCGATAACGAGAGGGAGTTTGAAAGCAAGTGGAATAGTCCGAAATTGATCAGACAACCCCGACGATTGAAAGCTTAAAAGAGCGAAAATTCGCGGTCAATGACTAGTTGTGAGGAGTTGACCGAGTGAGTCTTTGCGACTGCCAAAAAATTTCATCACCCCCAACTATTCGACGTCACCAGAATCAAAAAACCATGAAAAACCGGATTGATAAATTTATTTTTACCCGATGCCATGTGTTTCTCAAATCGTCAACAACAAACTAAAGCGCAAAAACGTGTCCTTGATGAATGAAATAATGGATCCAGGACGATGGGCCAAGGATCCACCCGGGGAATTTTAACTCTTTATAAATACCAACACCGTTAATCCCCAAAAAATGTAAAATTACACGACAAATGATAAATGAAGATGGCCCTAGATGGCAATTAGCCATCCACCGCAAGGTCGTTGTGCAACCAACTTGACAATTAAATCCCGTGAACTTTCTCCATTCGTCATTCGTTTCCCCAGTCTCTGGGTAGATCCCAACGATAGTTAGTGAGGGATTTCACTCTCGATGAAACAGCTCGTTTGTGTGGTACGTGACGAGGAAGCAACACACACCGGAAAAAGAAAGATGAAAGAGGACAAGACCATGCGTGAAATTAAATCTCTCGGAATCGCGGCGTTATTCCATGCTTTCGATTTTATTTACTCTTCATATTTTTCTGATGTAATTTTTTTCGGATGTTACGAAAGATGTACCGGTAGTCACGTAGACCGGAATAACATAAGCTAATTATTATCTCAACATTTATTTGAACTTTCCACTATCTCCAATAATTGATACGATTCATAAGATAGAAAAGACGATTAAAAGGGACAACAGGTACTCACCTCGATGCTGTATGATTTCTTGATAGCGAACATCTCGCGGTTCTTCTGTGCAGCGGCGACAGCCATCATAATGTCCTCAACAAGCCTTTCCTCAGCAAGAAAATACTCCAAAGGACAAACAGCCTCTTCGAGACGCCCCCAAGTTCAACAGTAAGAGAGTGACTGACACACGCTGGAGCCTCACTGCCCTTGAATTAATCTCCACAAAAGTCGAACGTTGGTGCCGATGTTAATCAGGATGGACCAAAAAGAACTTGGAGCTGATGAAAGATAAGTGATAACTCGCGAATTGATAAAATTCCTTCGACCACAAAAAAAAACTTTTTCTGTCTGTCGATTGATGTTTTTGAGTGTTCACGGTGTTGAGGTGTTTTCTCCAAGACAGTTGTTCCAATATCACTCCAGAGATTTGATAAAAAAACAAACAATATCTGTGGGTAATGTTATCTTTTTATCTCACGGCTGATATTTCGTCTCCTGCTTTGGTGAAGCGAACGAGCGAATGCGACGTCGGGGCGGATTGCTGCTGCATATAAACGTTACCTCCCTTCACCGCCTCGCGCTCGGGTCAGGGGTGCCCCCCCACTATTTTTCCCAGACAAGGGGAAAAAAAATGCCCGTGGATCATGAGGAGAATGAGATTTGTCGGTGGGAGGTTTTTAAATTCATAGAGGGCTTTTGGCTGGTCCACGCAATCTTGCAATACCTTCAGTGCTTTCCTTATTTAACATCCATTCCAGTTACCACCACCATATCATTCATGCTGGACCACTCACCAATTATTCGTCTATCTCTAATCTCGTCATCTTATTGGTCGCACTTTTTTTTATTGCTCGTTTCAGAGGACGGATCGGGGAATCCTGAGGCACCCACGCTCGTCAAGTTGCACTCCAAATTTTTACTTCTATTTTTCGTGGCAAGTCTCGCATATTTTCAACCTGTTCGCAACACTCATGCTTCTGGACATCTTGGAAATTCACAATTTCGGGGAAGAACTTGTAGGAGCGAAATCTCCGCTGCATTTTTCCACGGAACTTTGAAATATGTGAGTTCGCATTCAATTTCAATTACAATTTATTTTAAATTGCAGCGTATTTTTCATTTGGATGGAAATTCAAGGAAATTTCCAGCAGATTGAAAAAGCTATGACCGAAATTTCTTCGTTCCCCGTACATCGTGTTCACCGTCATGAAAAGATACCGTTCACTTTCGAAAAAATTCAATTTTCGTTATCATCAACAGAGTTCTAATTACCGGAAAGCATCTACTGAGTCACTGGAAAAGTAAAAAAAATTTAAGCGTCAGTTAATGAAATTCTTTGTCCTCCATGGAGAATCCTAGAGGCTCGGGTTTCATCCGGATGTATAGTTATCCACTTCGAGATGGTCATGATTCACGTCTTAATGAATGAATTTGTTACCTTCCAGAATTGAATCGAATTCATTTTCGAATTCGCCCAGCAAGATTTCAATATTTTTGAGAATTATTTGAATCCCCAATTTATCAGCAGAATGACCTATTAAACATTTTTACAGGTTTTACAAGGAAAACTTGGGAAATTTTCATTGAAATATTTTCATTGTAGAGAAATCAAACAATATGGCTGTGACGTGGGTTATCCTGTGACGTGGGGAATTCTCCATTTTAACGATTAGTCACTACAAAGATTAAATGATAATGAATAGTAAAATGAAAGGCGCAGACGTCATCGACGATCGACAATTTTATTTGAAATTATGAAACAATTCAATGTGACCTAGCAATCCTAGAAATCCAAGTGCTTTTTTTTGTTTTCCTGTTTTCTGTTCTATCATAGGATCGACGTAATTTATTGTTTAGTAACAAAATTTTGAATATCTAATAATTCGACGCACCGGAAAAGTCTATCGCAATCGTTCTTTCTTCTTCTATGAATAATCTATAAAAAGTCCTTTTATTTTGTAATTTTATTAAATTTACTACTGAAAATTTAGTCAGTGAAAATTTGTGGACTCGATCATGAAGATAAAATATTCAAACGTCACAACAGCTGATAGTACTCGAAATGCCGGTAAAAACTATCCGAACAGAGGTGAATGGTCTTTTTTTCATAATAAGACAGTATGAAGGCCCCAGGAAAGTGTTAATTGCGATAATTGAAACGGTTTAACAATAACGTGATCATAATTTATCCCATATTTCTTATCCACACCCTTTTTTTAATGATTTTTTTTCGTGAATGAACACTCAAGTGTTTTAATCGTTAACCGAATTGGTTTTATTGATTTTCAGATCATCACTGTTAAACATTTTTGTCGAAATTTGCCGTGCAAAATTCTTGAAATTATTTTCAATATCCTATTTTTCCGTAGAAACGAGTCGAAAATCAGACCATTCCAGTAAATCTGATTGTGACATATTTTGATAACATTAATACTGAATGCTATTTAGAGACGATAAAAAAAGAAAAATTTCACTCGAAATTCCATACAATCTGGGTGAATATTCACATAAAATTAGAAATTCAAAAATATTCAGGAAGTTTCATCTTCACGCCTTAAAAAATCCTGAAATCCTGAAACCTAAAATTTTAGAAACCTAAGATTTTTCCTGTAAATCAGGTGTCACTGCCCTGAAAATTAGTAGTCTTCAAAAATAAATTTCTTCCCTAACAAATTCCAGTCATAATATCCTGCGTTACAGGAATTTTTCCCTGTTATACAATGAATGGACGATGACAACTCCGAGGATATTAAAATTATTCGGGCCCAAATCGATGACTGACAGCTTAAATGGACAATTAGCTGGAGATATTGATGATGCAGACGTCACACCTGATAACTCGGCTTGGGAACCCCGGCAAAAGCCGGTGGAATGTCACCTGCGAGTGGTCAAATTTCTTGTAAATTCCACGTCAAGACATCCCCTCTGTGGTCACTTAGGAATTTCCACGATCAATAATGTGACGAGCAATTGTCATCGAAAAAATTTCCCAAGACCAGCCGACAGAAAAAACTTCCAACGATGAGGAAAAAATTCCCTGAAATGAAGCCGTTTAACGCACGACATTTGGATATAATTGAACTAATTCATATGCACTAGTATGTGTGTAGACAAACCTGATCTTTACTTTCATGTACCAAGGCCAGCATCACAGCCTTACGTTTACTCATAGACGTTGTGGCACTTGATCTACCGAGCGATTTGTCGCTGTTAACAAGACATTGCATTCCACATCAGCTGACTCATTTGTGAACCCGGTCCCCCGTGCCCAATATCGATAGCACCATCAATATTCATTGATAACAACTTCAACCACACCCAATGCCAATCGCTGGCTTAACCAATTAAAATAATTCATTCAATTCTTTATTGAGCGATTACAGATAATTGTCTCAACAAGTGATCAGTGGCATTTATTCGGAATTCTAAAAAAACCCTTTGAAATTGTGAATTATCGAATTTGGATTTATATTCAAGGCCCCGTTTAGGGGTCAGCTGAACTTGAATCTCGTTTTTATTTGTATAGAGAGGAATGTGCCTCCTCATTTGCATTAAATTCTTCGAAAATTCCAGTATTTCGGACAGAGATACACAGAATTAAAAAAATTAATCATAACGAATTTATGACATACTTAATAAAATCGAAAATCTGTTCAATTATCGATTATTTATTGGGGAACATTCTAAGGATTTTACAATTAGGATTTTAACAATTTATGGGAAACTCTCAGGTCCACAGAAAAATTGCGTGACCCGACAATTTTTTTTTTTTCATATTTCATATTTTTTTATTCTTACTGGAATTTTTCTCAAGCCGATATTCGATCAATTTCTTCACCAAATATTTAATTTATTGATTTTCTTGATTCTCCCCTTGATGTCTCGATCGTATGATCATTAACCAGATTACGAGTGTCGTGTTCACGAGCTGATGGCTATCGGTGTAAATCTGAGTTAAATGTCAGAACGGGTCTTTCCTGATGTATCATTTACCGATTGACGTACATCGGTGTGAGAATTCGGACGAAAGGTGTAATGTCACCGCATCCGACTCATCATGAAAATTCCCACCGCGATGATAAAACAACTGTTAGAATAAAAAAGCAATTATATAATTAAAAAAAAAACACTGGGAAGTATGAAAAAGAATAATCATGCGTAATGATAGCCGCTGACGGTTCCCAGAAATCCATAAAAATTATGTTTAACTATGGAATTGGCGTAATGGTCAATCAATTGGTGAACAACTAGCCAAATGCTAATGTCCTACAATTGGTGTTATGTAATGATGATGAAAAAATTATCGAACTTAATGATTTCCTCGATGCAAATCGATCAGCCGAGAAAAAGCCTTGAGGCAACTCTGTCTATCAGGATATAAGTAACCAACAATAACGAATGGCAGAGCAAATCGGGGAGGCTCGATTATGATAATGTATCCATAATATTATACTCGACCAATCTATTATTTTCGCGTTTAACATGATGTTTCAATACATCGATAAATCTGTCATAATGTAACAATCAGTGCGATTCATTTATCCACTATCAGATGATGAGTGGATTAATTTTTCTACTCGAGAGGACATTTTTTTTATTTAAATTCCAGTATATAGCGCAAAAATATCACGACCCAACGGACATGACGAATTAAAAAAAAAAAGTTTATTCGTGTTAATTGTGAGTATATTTGTGATGAATAGGTTATTGGATTCTAATAACATATGTGTTTCAGTTAGATAATTTTTTGGGAATTGAAAATGGAATTTTCTCACTTCGTCCCTTCAATGCTTTTTAACGGAAGCTTTATTCTCGTTCTGGTATGAAAATTTTTTTAACCAGTTTTCCTTCACTTTTCTAATGGTTTGAAGCTAGATTATTATTTGAGGTGGACAGTGTCAAGGGAGCGATGACACATCCACAATAGCGCATGCCACTGGCATCTCGAACACTTCATCAAATCCATCCTCGAGGATTTTAATGTTCATGGGAGTAATGAGAAGACAATTGATTATACCAGTGAATGACCCGGAGAGGAATTGCCACTAAAATTCGCTTTCAATCCTTCGATTTCTTCTCAAAATTCTAGTAAGAGCGCACATAGTCCGATAAACAAACAATGACAAAATTTCTATTCTAGGTGAAACTTCAAAGAAAAATAATCTGTTAATAATCATTAAATGAGTTTCAAAAAGTGTTTTTCATGTTCTCATCATCGAAATTCGAAAAACGTGGGTGAAGTGATAGAACTAAACTCGAAGCTGAATATTTCCTGTTTTGCCGCTTCATTATTGAAATCATTTGAATAATTTATAAGGTAAAAACAATCCGTTAGTACGGCAGTTGATTAATTAGGGAATTAATACCGCTGATTCAATGCGATTGCGAAGGATAAGAAGTTGAATTAATATCTAAAATTAAACTGAATAAGTTGACTATGAACAATTGGTCTGGTTACCGATTATCGTCGCCTCTAATATTAGCACCTTACGGTATGCTCCCATCACG